GCGCTCCCCTCAGGCCCCCGGCGCAGCTACAGCACCGAGGAGCAGCCCCAGCAGCGCCAGAAAACCAAGATGCTCATCCTGGGCCTCTCCAACCCCGTCAACTGGGTGCGGACGCGGATCCTCGCCTTCCTCATCTGGGCCTATTTCGACAAGGAGTTCAGCATCAAGGAATTCTCCGAGGGGGCGAAGCAGGTTTGTGCATTGCCCCGGGGTGACCCGTGCGCCTCCGGGCCTGCAGTCCGGGCACGTCCAGGTGTTGAGCGGAGACGTGTCCCCACGGGCCCCCGGTCACCGGGGGGAGCGGCCCTGCGCGCAGCCCTCCGGCCGCTTCTCGAGGGTGAACTGAGCTTCCGCTTCTGTGCGGTGGCCGCGAGGTCCTCGGTGCCATGGAGACACCGGCGCGAAGCCCCCGGTCACCTCTTCCACTCTCCGCAGGCTTTGAATCAGAAATGGACTCAGAGCCCATTTCGGCCACTTGAAGGTCACATTGCTCGCTTTTCTGAGCGTGGTTTTCCGCAAAATGAGAAAGACAAGGTCTGTCCATTGATAGGTCTATGTGACATGATACCTTTCCTAATGCTGCTGCCATCAAATCACATGAACCGTATACTGTGTTTTTCCCTGTATCTTGCTTGCCCATTTTAGCCTTCTCTATGAAAAAGAGGGCTATTTCCTCGAAGACTCTTCAGGTGAGATATTCCTTATCAGACCCCTGACGGCAGTTCTGGCACTAACTCCCCGGCTCCCCGCATTGAATGCTGAGTCCACAGGTTAGGGCCTGTTCCCACAAGACGGCCTCCACTTCACACACACACCCAAGTCCTGGCCTCCCACACTTCTGATCTACTAGCTGTTATCGGGGGTTCCCACATCACTCAGTAATTTGCTAAATGGCTCACAGAACTCAGGGAAGCACATCACTTGCTCTTTCCAGTTTATTTGAAAGGAGCGTCCTAATGAAGGAGATGCACATGGCAGAGTATGTTGGAAGGGGGGGGGGGGGGGGGGGTGCCCTCTCCAGTGCACCACATCTCCCGCATCTCCGAGGGTCACCGCCCGGTCGCTCCTAATCCTCCCTTTAGGGTTTTATTGAGCTTCCATTGCATAGGTGTGATGGATTAAGACGTTGCCCTTGATGATTAACTCAATCCCCAGCACTTGTATCCTCCTTGAAAGTCTGGAGGTGGGGCTGAAAGTTCCAAACCTCTAATCCCAGAGTTGATTCCTCTGACAACCAACCCCCATAATAATTAGGTAACGTCATCTCTCTGACATGCCTGTGCATCCTCTCTCCTCCAGTTCTTCAGATTTCACCCTGGATGTACTTGCTGCGGGAAGGCCTCCCGGGCCTCCCAGAGTGGCTTAGGTGGCTCTTCTGTTTGCTCCCACAGCATCCAGTTCTTACCCGTCATCATGCTTGCACTTGTCAGTTTACTTGCCTTCCTCCTTACTTGAAGACAGGTCGAGTTTTATGCACAGCTTCACTTCTCACTGCTAGGATGTGGAGGACTGCAGTTTGCTCTCCCCACTTTAAAATGGGAACTCATACTTCAGAGTGGAAATCCACTGTCGTAGACTGCAAACTCGTTATCTTTCCTGCCCCTTTCCCAAACCTGCTTACCTAGCTTAATGGCTCAGACTACAACCCAGATCTTTGGACTCTCAGATACAATTTAGATTTTACTGCTTCTCAGCTGCTGTTTATGTTTGATTAAGCTGGAGGTGGGGGGAGTCGTGTAACACTCAGAATGGATGATTACTCCATCATTATTTTAAAAGGAAATATGTAGGAGGATTTTTATTCAGGTCCTAGTGTGTACACCATGCACAGTCTTTTCCCAGGTCCTGAGAGTGGGTACATAGTTAGCAGTCTGCCTACTTACTACTATATATGTGGGAAGGCTCTATGAGAAAAGAAAAGCCAACCAACTGGAAGGAGTTGTGCCTGACATTGGTATATTAGTGCTTGATGTTGTTTATCACCTTTATCATAAAACAGTCTGTCACACTTGGCCATTTAAATTTGAGCATTGAAATAATCACCACCCTCCCTCCACTATTTTTTTTTTTTTAAGGCTTTTGCTCATGTCTCCAGATTGCTGTCACAGTGTAAATTTGATCTGCTGGAAGAACTTGTGACCAAAGAGGTAAAGTATACTTTTAATTTTCTTATAAAAATAAATGTATTATTTTCTTGCAACCAAATAATATATACAGTACATTATCCTTATATATGCTTAAAATTAGTGTGTGCCATCAGCCAAAGCAGAGTCCCTGTATCATTCCTTTTGGATAAAAGCATTGAATGACTTGCTACTAAGGCATAAGTAAGTAAATGTGACATCCCTTGGTTGTTCTTATATAGAATGTTCTGTTATAAATTACCTAGTTCAGTGGTCGGCAAACTCATTAGTCAACAGAGCCAAATATCAACAGTACAACGATGGAAATTTCTTTTGAGAGCCAAATTTTTTAAACTTAAACTACATAGATAGGTACATTGTTATTAACTTAATTAGGGTACTCCTAAGGCTTAGGAAGAGCCACACTCAAGGGGCCAAAAAGCCGCATGTGGCTCTCGAGTCGCAGTTTGCCGACCACGGACCTAGTTGAATGATAAGGTGCTTTTTAGCCTTGCTTTTGAAGCTGAGTAAATATGGTAGTAAATTTAAAAATAGGAATAAAAAAATTCATTCCATGAACAGTTTATTGAGTTTCTTGAAAAGCTTTCGAAAACTTGAGAGGTGAATTACAGTTTGCTTTTTCCAAACTTAGCTGCTGCTTGTGTTGAAAGAAAAGGTTACTTCACTACCTGACAGCCACAAAGATGCCCTTGCTGCTGACATAGATGAGATTGTGTACACCTCCACAGGAGACATCTCCATTTACTACGACGACAAAGGTAATGCGGAGCGTAGGCGGCTTTAAGTGACCCACGGTTGCCCAGGTAAACTAAACTACTGGGTGAAAGATCGTGACATAGTGGGAGCTTGTTGGTACAAATGGATACTCATGGGACTTCAGATAAAATAGTGTGTTCATTCTTTAAAGACCTAGCTCTGGAAGAGCTGCGATATGTTAGTAGTTTCTTATGCCTTTTATCTGGAACTTTGCCTACCACTATTTAATTCACAGGCAAGAGCATCGTCACGTTGATGAAAATAGTCTGTCTGGGACAGTGATGGTGAAGCTATGACACGCGTGTCAGAGGTGACACGCGAACTCATTTTTTTGGTTGATTTTTCTTTGTTAAATGGCATTTAAATACATAAAATAAATATCAAAAATATAAGTCTTTGTTTTACTATGGTTGCCAAGATCAAAAAATTTCTATATGTGACACGGCACCAGAGTTAAGTTAGGGTTTTTCAAAATGCTGACACGCCGAGCTCAAAAGGTTCGCCATCACTGGTCTAGGACAAGCTGCTCCCATATCGCAATTAAAAATATTTGTATGTCAGATTTCCTAACTCGAAGAAAACAATTAAGCATTTTAAATGTCCAGCTGTATGTTACATAGAAGGAGTAAGGAGTAAAAGAAAAAGTAAATAATATCAGCTAAAGACTTTTGAAAGTAAGATCAACTGTAGAACTCCCAAATTGGAGACAATGAAAAACATTGAAAGGAACGTTGGTGGTTATCTGGCTCATCATCTTGTCCAATGCATACTTTTTCCTTATAGCATTTCTGAAAATTTATTGACTTATTTATTCCTGCTACAAACCTTTGCATATGTATTATGTGCCAGGCACGTAGGAGATCTAGCCTTTGCTTACACACTTCCCAAGGCAGTTCTGATTTGGACTCTTAATAGTTAAGATTTTTTCATTTTCATACACATGTTAATTTGAAACATTTGTAACGGTACTTTTACATGTTTTTCATAAATATTGTTTCTTCCCTAATATTTCAGATTGCATCTCAGCACAGTAGTCACTACCTGATTTTTACACAAGTCATTGTCATAATCACTAGGCATAGCAAAGTGAATTAGGGTGGAATAGAAGTCTTTCTTCTTTCTGGCATTTGGGGTTAATTACTTAGTAGCAAGAAGTGTTTTCCCCCCTCATTTTTTGGTTTGACAACAGATATCTGTTAGAGTTTTAGATGATGCCATAAATTGAAAACAATCTATATAGTATACTTAGTAAATAGTACATGCTCAGTAAATAGTAACTATTATTATTACAATGCAAGAAGAGGGCAAAACCGACACTACCCTAAGGAAATAAAAAGGTAGCAATATAGGTATGTTAAGTTAGACTAGAAGAAGCGCAAAATTTCATTTGTAACAACTGTGTAACTACTGCCAATTTCTATTTCATTTTGGATATATGGATGATAGACTATTGTGATTTGTATTTGTGTGTGTATGTGTATGTTTTTTCCCTAAGGAAGGAAGTTTGTTAACATCCTGATGTGCTTTTGGTATCTAACCAGTGCCAACATCCCCAGTGAAACTTTAAGCGGAGCGGGTGTGTTCCAGGTTAAGTTGGGGAATCAGAACGTGGAAACTAAACAGCTTCTTAGTGCAAGCTATGAGTAAGTCTGTCACATGCCATACTACAATCAGAAAACTAACGGAGCTTTAGGAAGAAAGAGTTGAAATTTGACAAGTTATTTATAAAGAGAAAAAGACATAATGACTACTGGCCATGACACGGCAATGTTCGGAAGGGGGAAAGGCGGTAATATTTCTGAACGTAATTACACAGTGTTTGAGCTTCCATGGCTGCATTGCAAACCACTCCAAAGCGCAGTAGCTTCCAGCAGCCCTTTGCTGTTGCCTGCTGTTTCACTGTCAGGATTTTGGACAGGCTGAGCTATGGGGATTCTCTGCTTCGCCTGGGCCTGGCCTCAGCTGGGTGACGGGGGCTGGAGGACTCATTTCCGCAGTGGCTTCTTCACTGACGGGCGTCACCTTGGTGCTCCTTGGCCTCTCCGATAATGTCGAGTTCTCCCAGGCCTTTCTGCATGGCTTGGGCTTGTGGTGGTCTCAGGCTAGTCACGTGTTTTATGGGGGTTGGGATTCAAGAGGCAGAAGTCAGAAGATCTAAACCAGTAGAGTGCTATGCCCAGGATTGGGACCACATCATTTCCACCGTAGTCCACTTGTCAAAGCAGTCACAGGACCTGCACAGGTAAAAGCACCTGGGGAGACCACCTCCTTATGGGGCACCCGCAAGGCCACCCTGCAGAAGAGCCTGTTGGGTGGGAGATAAGGTTATGGCCCTTGTTGGAAAATAAAATCTGCTGTAATTGGCACATGGACTGTCTACTCACTAGATGTTTATTGACCATCTCCCATTTGCAAGTACTCTGGTAGGGGTTCAAATGCAAAGTTAAAGGGTTCTTGCCCTTAAGGAGCACTGTCTAGTAGGTTAGCAAATTACTTAAAAGAGACACTATTGTTCATTTTTGTGCTAATAAAATTGGGAGCAGTGAACAAGTCAAGCAAGTCAATGGAGACATAATTATATATTTAAATACTTATTTAATTGAAATCTGAATTTTTCTCTTTTAAGATATCATTTATAATTAAAGAACACTATAATCAATACTGATCTTTGGTTCTTCTGATCTTCCCTTCCAAGACCCTGGGCAGCTCATTAAACACTGTTATTTTAAAGATTGATCTAATGTATATAAGACAGATAACACTAAAGTGCTGTGTTCAGCAACATAGTCCAATTTATTTCCCCTCATATTTGGCATGTTATAGCTAGTGTTTAATGACAATAATACCCCAGTTTCTCCAGGATTGGCAGATGTTGGAGTGTAGATCCTTCCATTAAAAATACTCATTTTAGTTGAGAATGTACTTCTGATTTTGTGGGGATATTTTTGTGATTGAATTGGTAAAGTTCTTTTATTTTGATTTTTATTTACCATTGACCATTAGCTTATTGCTAAAAACTGCCTCTTACACTTGCAAATTAGTTATCTGAGAAGATTTGGACTGGTGTTTGCACTTCTTCCCTAGGTTTCAGAGGGAGTTTACACAGGGAGTGAAGCCCAACTGGATCATTGCACGGATTGATCACGCCAAGTTACTAGAATAATCTTTCTTGGGAAAATCAGCTTATTTGAACTTTCAGCAATTGCTGTGAAAAACTAAGGAAGAATTTGGATCAGTTGATCTTCACTTAGTCAAGTCTGTGGATGACTTTTGTATTATTCTGAAATACCCCTTGCAATATACTGACATGACATAATAAAGCATTTCCACAGATCATTGTCATAAGAGAGGTCAACAGCCCATTGTTGGTGTCACATCCACTATCATCTCTAACGTTACACGTATGTGTATATACACAAACTAATTTTATAGACAATAAAGAAGTATTAAAAAAACTACACATTTCTAACTTAATTCTTAAGTATTTTATTTATGGTTAATACATTTAAACCAATAATTCAGGAATGTGTAAGGTTTATTTTTTTAAGATCAGTGCTGCTATTTGATTACTTCTGGTCACTAGCTAGATGAGGAATGGATGGAATTATGGCTTGGTCACTGCACAGTGAATTTGAAGCTTTCTAAAACACAAAGAGAAGCCCTGACCTGTTTGGCTCAGTGGATAGAGCGTCGGCCTGCGGACTGGGGGGTCCCAGGTTCAATTCCAGTTCAGGGCATGAACCTTGGTTACGGGCACATCCCCAGTAGGAGGTGTGCAGGAGACAGCTGATTGATGTTGTT